TGGGTGAATGAGCATCACAATTACAGATCCACTATACAGCGTTTTAGAATTTGAGGCTAATGATAAATGTCTTGTGAGTGGGCCGATCTCCAGCTGTTGAAGGGAAGCAGGTGTGAAGATAAGAAATCATTGTGGGTCTCCGTCTTATATCCTTCCTGCATGTATCAGGCAGTGGAAAATTTAGCATTTAGTCACTTTCATCTGCATCAGACCTCCTCTTTTGAGTTTTGCACATTTTTTTTTACGTGTTTTCTCTCTTTTTGTCTCTTTTTCTCACTCTCATTCTGTTTCACAGATCGTGGTGTGGACACCTGAAGAAAAAGACGCAGAAAGAAAGAGAGTGAGAGACAAAGACTCGAGAAGAAAGAGTGAAGTACAATGTGCTAGGGGAGTGAAGGCAGACAAACTCTCGTGTTTTTCTGATATTCTCGGGGTGTCAGAGAGACCAAGCAGGACGCCAAGATGGGACGGAAGAAGATACAGATCACACGGATCATGGATGAGAGGAACCGGCAGGTCAGTAGCTCCTTTACACATCATCCTTCATTTATTCCCACAGTATCTACTGTATGTATGTCTCGGAACCTAGTGAGATGCTAGCTAAAAAGCATTTTTTGACATTTGGAACGAGGCATACATAATATATTGCTACCAAATTGATTATTGATTGATATTACAGACTTTTTATTTATTGTATCCTCTATTTTGACATTTAGATTACCTTTGCTGTCAAAGTTATTTTTTAATAACACTGATAAATGTAATCTTTAGTAAAACTCAAAACGAATATCCATTTTTCGTTATGTAAAATATAATATTGTGATTCCTAAATTCCCTTGTAGCTTATAAAAAGTAGGTTTTCAGTGTTTAATTTATTTAGACAAAATGGATTTTAATATTGGCCATATATAACTTAATCAGCCATATCAGCCTGCATTTTTAATATTTGTGCATCCTTTATTTGGAGCATTTGAAACCCAGAGACAGAAAAATGTCTGTATTTTAATTTAGATTTTTTTATATAGATTTATTTTTCTAGTTTTTGATAGTAAATATATAGCTTAGAGTCAAATTGAGGATACTTACACTTCCATTCAAAAAGTTTGGGGTCAGTAAGATTTAAAAACAATTTCTTTAAAGAAATTAATACTTTTATTTAGCAAGGATGCATTTAATAGTTAATAAGTGGCAGTAAAGATGTTAATGAAGTTTAAAAGGATTTCTATATAAATGCTGTTCTTTTGAACTTTCTCTTCATCAACAAATCCTGAAAAAATGTACCCACAAAAATGTTAAGCTGCACAACCACTGATAACTATAACAAATGTTTCTTGAGCAAATCAGTACATTAGAATGATTTCTGAAAGGTCATGTGACACCAAAAACTAGAAGAGTAATGGTGATAGATTCAATAGAACTTGAATGCCTTCATGATCTTGTACACAGCAAACACAACAGGCCCGAAAGACCTATTTAATTATTGCTTAGTTTGGGCCATCTGTTCATTGGCTAAACATGTTGTCCCAGCATTCCTGGATAGACACACAGCAAGAGCCATAAAAAGGGACTGGGACACATTTCCAGCCATATTTACAGACGCGGCTCCCACACACCACCCTGAAATTTTGGTCCGGAGAAGCTGATGAGGCAGACAGAGCTGGTGCGAGCCAGTCAGTGTGGCAGCGACACGGAGCAAGGGGTGACTGGGGTGAAGTGGGGCGACTATAGGCCTCTCCCTTTTTCCCCTCTCTCTCTCTCTCTCTCTCTCTCTCTCTCTCTCTCGTTATTTCTCTTTCTCGCTCTCTCCACACTGGTGGATTTGTGCTGGGGCCCGGCAGGACCCGTTCCTCCCTGCGGTTGCAGCTGCTTGGTAGTAATTAGGAGCATCCACTGCACCACGGCACCCTCTCATTACAATGAGGAACAGTGGGACGCGCTGTGCCCTTCTCTCTCTCCATCTTCCTCTTTCTGCTTCTGTCTCTCTCTCTATTTTCCTGTCCTTTCCTCAGAAAAGTGCCAATGATCTGGCCAGCGACAGAGACAGACTGGAATTCACCCTTGTCTACTCGCGCTAAATATAAATAACATAACACAGTCCTGTCTGGTCACTGTCGTTGCAGAGAAGGGAAAACACACATACAAAACAGATGTG